AAATTTGTTTAATTTTTATCAACTGCAAAATAAATTGTTTAATAAAACATGACTCCGTTGGAATTAAAAAAAAAAAATAAAATAAAATATTATTATTTAAATACTTATGAAATATCCCAAAAGTAAATCAACTACATGTTTTCACATGTAATTCAAATTTAATAGATATACAAATGTGCAAAAATAAATTTGTTAGCACTTTAATTGATCAATTTAATAAGACAGCTAAAAAGAAAACAAAATCAGATAAACTCAAAAACGAAATTAATAGATTAAGTGAACTAAAGTGGTTCGAAGATGAAAAGAATTATGACAAAAATGAGTTATCATTTCTTGACATCATCTTTGGATGTATTCCCAATTCATTATACAACAAAGTATCCTCACAATTACAAAACAAAAAAGAAGTATCAAAAATTTTTAAAGAGACAATGGTAACTTTCAAAGAATATATAAGAACATATATATGGAACTATCGCTGTAAAATTGTAAAACAATGGGAATTAGAAAATGGTATTAAAAATGTAAATAAAAGAAAGATGTTAAATCAATCTTATGAGGAGATCATTATTGATAACAATAATGGTAATAATAGTAAAGATAGTAGTAATGATATCAGTAACAATAATAACAATATTGACAATAAAAACAATAATAATAATAGAGATAAAATAGACAACTGAAAAATAATTGCTATGACGCAATTAGCAAATATATATTATCATTAGTGAAATAATAAACATTGGTCAAATATATATAATATAGGCTATTCGGCAGAGTTTTAACAAGCTGTTTATAACTGTTGTTATCTGGCGGTAGGTTGCAGACATGTTTCGTGTTAATCTTGAGATTGACAATTCAAATTAGTCTGAGTCTCATCTTTTCATTAGTTACTAGAATAAGTTGTGTATCTTATATTATATAATATTAATGTAGGAGACTTTCGCTTTTTTTAGTTAATAAATTTGAGGCAAAGCCTCGCCGAAACTTTTTAAAAAAAAAAAAAAAAAAATATGAATAAGTAATGATCACTAACGTTGTAAAAGAGCTATTAACCAAAAAAATTTATCTGATGTTCAAGAATTATAAAGAAGCAACCTTAGCATATGTACAACGGAATGATAAGAAATTTTATAATACATTTGATTTCCATTGATGGAATTTGTATTATAAACAAAATTAAGAAAAAAAGGTAAGTGCAAAAGTGGAGTTTTATAATATATAAATCTATTAATCTCAGTGTATAATGTTATAGTTAATCATAAAATTATGAAATAAATGTGAAACACTATCAATCTGTATAAAAAAGGTAATTTTTTATGTTTTTTGTTTACTTGAAATAAAAAACAAAGTGAAAGCAGATGAAATCTTCTTGTGGAAAAGCTACCTGACTGTTTCTAAAGCTTACAATAGTCTTTTTAAAAAGATTGATAATAATGAAAACTCCCTAACCTATATGATATAAGTAATAGAAAAAGTTTGATCGAAAATGGAAACATTCGACTTGCATACCACTTGGGCAATATCAATTGTTGAAGTATTATTGAATTCCGAAATGGAGAAATCAGTGTGTCAGAAGAAATAATTGATTTTCTTCTTAAAAAAAATATTGTAAGTTTTTTACAGTGTTTTTTTTATTTTGAATAATTTTGAAAAATACTAATTAAATAAAATATAATCTAAAATAATAAATAAAGAAATTGAAATTGAAGCGGAGGAGGATATACAAGAATTATTTTTTTCACCTTTGATCTCTTCACCTTTGGAAAAACTAGAAAAAAATGAAAAAATAAACCTGAGGATATTGATGATGTGATATCCTCACTTGTAGAAATTTGAAAAAATGCATTAAAGAAAGCATACGAAATTATTAATAAAAAAAGAAAAACAAATAAAGGTAATAAAGATAATGAAGATGACGACGATGATAATGATGATGACGATAATGACGATGACGATAATGACAACGACGATGATGACGATGACGATGACGATGAAGATGAAGATGATGAAGAATAATAAAAATAATATATATATAATAATGTATACAATTATATAGAATATTCTGAAAATTTATGTAATTGAATATTCTGAAAATTTATTAATTATATAAAATATTCTGAACATTTATGTAATACAGTGCGGAACCTCTATAATAGAAATTTGGTTATAGTAAAAATTGATTAACTATATTGCTTTAAAACTTTTTTTCCAAATATAAAAATAAAAATTCTAACTGTAGAAAATGGTAGCCCAGATCCTAGGCTTTTAGAATCATCGGTTAAAATTTTGATCTGATTAAAATTGATCAACTTTTACTAGGGTTGAAGTTATACAATTTAATTATACCTATCAAATTTGAGAATATACTAAAAATAGAAAACTATTGTAATTTGTCCTGAAATTTACCTAAAAAAAAGATTTCCAACGGTTTCCAATATTTTGTGCCTTTTAAAAATGTTAAAATACTGTTAACAAAGGTTTTAAGAACAACAAAGAAATGAAAAATTAAGCGTAATACCAGTGGCAAAATTGTTTTCAATAAATGTAATAATTCTGTTGAGGAAAGTGATTTTAGTATATATTCCGAAGAAAGTACATATTCTGAAGAAAGTGCATATTTTGAAGAAAGTGAATACGATTCGGATGGATATTTGAAGTAGCGACGAAAATGCTTACATGGATTCGATTTGATATGGACTAATTCTGCGCAAAAGAAAAAAAGACTATATATAGGCAATTCAACTGCAACTTATTATTGTAAATACGGTCCTCATAGAAAATTTACTTTAGCAGCAGAGAAAAAAAATTCTCTTACAGATTTTTTTAAACCCATTAATTTGGACAATAATGAAGATAAAATTAATGACATGGTTTCTTTTATTAGAATGGATAGTGGATATAATAAAAGTAATGAAATAAGTAAATGTAACGAAACAAGTGAACCAGGTAGACATAATGGAATGGATAGGGAAACAAGTAGATATGATGAAATCGATAGTGGAATGGGTAAAAATAATATAATAGATGGTGAAACGGGTAGATACGGCGAAATTGGTGAAATGGACAAAATTAATGATGAACCAGGTAGATATAATAAAGTCAATATTGGAATGGATAAAAACAATGAAATGGATGATGAAACAGGTGAAATTGATGATGAAACATGTAGATATGGTGAAGTCGATATTGGAATAGATAAAAATAATGAAATGGATGATGAAATAGACAAAATTGATGGTGAAACGAGTAGATATGGCGAAATCAATAGAACGGGTAAAAATAATGAAATGAATGGTGAAACAGACGAAATTGATAGTGAAACGGAAAAAATTGATTGTGAAATAGGTAAAAATAATGAAATGGATGGTAAAACAGATGAAATTGATGGTGAAATGGGTAGATATGGCAAAATCAGTGAAATGAACAAAATTGATGATGAAATGGGTGAAATTGATTGTGAAATGGATAAATATGATGAAATGGATGGTGAAATGGGCAAATATGACAAAATCGATAGTAAAACATATAGATATAATAAAATAGATAGTGAAACGGTTAGACAAAAAATAAATGAATTTAGTAATGGGAGTGGTTATGGCGAAACAAATGAATTTAATAACGGGAGTAATTATAGTGAAACAGATAATGAAATAAATAAAAATAAAAATGATGTAGATGAAAAAAATAATGAAAATGAAAACAATAATAACATAACACAAAATATAAGTAAAAAATCGGATTTTTTTGATTATTTTGATCTAATTGATATAGATAATTTAAATCAAGTTGATGAAATAATTGATGAAACAATTGATGAGACAGTTGATGAAACAGTTGATGAAATAATTGATGAAATAGTTGATGAAACAGCTAGATTAGAAGGTACAGATAATGAAATGAATATTGATAATAATGATTTTAATTTAAAACTTCAACAATTAGAATATATTATTTTAAATAATCAAAAAAAATTAATGGTGTATGATTATTTGAGATATAGAGTTTTACATACTTATTTTAAATACTGGAAAAAAGATGGGTTAACTAGAATTGAAGCAAGTGAAAAAGCTGCAAAAGAAATTTATAATAAAGGAATATATAAATCCAGAATAATTTGAAAATTAGGAAATTATTAGATTAAAAATAATTCTTTACCTATTTCATTACAAGGTTGTTATCAAAAAATTAAATCATTTATTGATGATAAAGATATAATTAACAGTAGTTTAACTTATATTCAAGCTAATTGTGAAAAAATAATATCACAAAATTATAAAATATTTGTTGAAATAAAAATTTTTCCTCAAATATCTGTAAATAGATCAATATTAATAAAAACTGCAAGAATATGACTTCATAAATTGGGTTTAGTTTCACAATTACAAAAAAAAAAGTATTTATTTTGATGGCATGAACGTGAAGATGTCTTACAATATAGACAACAGTTTTTAAAAACTATGGAAGAGTATGAAAAGTTGATGCCTACATTTATTGGTGATGAAATGCAAATGGTTCTTTCAGAATTTAAAGAAGAAGAAAAATTACATATTTTAATTACATATGATGAATATCTTTTTTATGCCAATAATGATTGCCCTATAATTTGGACACCATTAGGTGAACCTCCACTTTGGAAAAAAGGACAAGAAAAATCTTTAATGGTTAGTGATTTTTTATTAGAAACGATTGGAAGACTCAAACTTACAGATAATCTTATAGTAAATTATTCAAATATTTCTAAAGATGTACGAAAATTTCTTCGTCCTGGTAAAAATGAAAAAGGCTGGTGGACTTCAAAACATCTTATAGATCAAGTAGTTAATGCCGCAATGCCTATTTTTAAACTTTTATATCTCAATACAATAGGTATCTTTGCATTTGATAATAGTACTAACTATGGGGCAATGGCAAAAGATGGATTAAATGCCTTTAGAATGAATTTAAATTCAGGAGAAAAACAACCACATATGTATGATACTTATTATGGATCAAATAATATATTACAATCTATGGTTTTTCTATCTAATCACTTTAAATATTCAAATAAACCAAAAGGCATGAAACAAATATTAATTGAAAGAGGTTTATTATATATGTTGCCCAAATCCCAAATCATTTGAAATTTGGAATGCCAAAATCCCAAATTACTAGTATTTGGGATTTGGGATTTGGGATTTTAGCAAAAAATACTAATCATAATTTGGAATTGGGATTTGGGATTTCAGCATTTGGAATTTTGACATTTGGATTTTGAATTTGGGTGGCAGGTATAAGGTTTATGGAGAGATAATTTATTAGCTGACTGTAAATTATGTAAAGGGAAAACAAAAATTATAGATATAAAGAGAACAGAATATTGTGCACATCGAATTTTGTCTTTACAACCTGATTTCTTAGTACAAAAATTCAAACTTCAAGAAGAAATTAAAAAATGTGAACAAAAATGTATATTTTATCCCAAGTATCATTGTGAATTAAACTACATAGAAATGTATTGAGGTGCTGCAAAAAAAATACTAAAGAACATTGTAATTACACTTGAAATGGATTACAAAAAACTGTTCCTGAAGCATTAGATTCAATTTCTTTAATTACTATTCAAAAATATACACGTAAATCAAGGAGATATATGGATATATATAGAAAAGGTATTACTGGAAAAATAACAGAATATGCAGTTAAAAAATATAAATCCCATCGTCGTATACCTGATACAATTTATAATGAATTAAATAATTAAAATTTTATAAATTTTTTTATAACAATCCTTATTACTGTGAAATGGTCACGTGTTCTTACATTCCTGAATTCTAATTGACTAAAATCGCATCACATGATGCTTACATAAACTAAGAAAATTGAGAAAATTTTTTTTCTATAAATAGATTCTCCCAAATGTATATATTCAAATGCTATAATATAAAAAAAATCTGATTGGTGAATTAAATTTTATTTAAGATTTTCTAAGTTCCTATTATAAAGATTCCGCACTGTAGAATATTCTGAAAATTTATTAAATTAATAAAATTAATAAACAATTAACATTCAATAATAATATCATTACAATATGTATTTTATTTTCGCAATTAACTATTTAGTTTTGAAAAAATCTGTAAAATATTAAAATATTTCATATATAAATTTCAAATATATTATTATAATAATTTCACGAATATCTACAAAAATAAACAGAGATTTATAAAAATATATGCAAAAATTTTCGAAAATAAATAGAGATTTACGAAAATATATGTAAAAATTTTTGAAAATAAATAAAACAAAAAATTTCAAAAATTTACGAAGGTGTCATATAATTCTAAAAACTTAACGAGGCAAAAATTTTCAAAATATTTCATCTTTAAAAATTTCCTAATGATAGATATTTATAAATATGATATTTTAATTTGATTTGTTTGAAACTTAATCAATGTAAAATTATAATACATTATTTACTTAAGTATTATATTTTCTAATATTTCTATATAATACATAGATATTCATAAATATGATATTTTAATTTGATTTGTTTAAAACTTGGTCAATGAAAAATTATAATATAATATTTTAATAGTAAATTATTTATTTATTAATAGATGATGTCACTATATTTTTTTTACCTTCTTCATTGTTGTCATATTTTTACTATCATTCCCATTTATCATACCCCATTACTGTTAATCTCCATCTATATAGTTTCCTTTTTAATTGTCGCCACTGCCCCTTTCTTCTTTTTCTAATTTCTTGATATTATTTATCAATACTTATTATTACTTACCTTCATTTATCCACTTATCTTATACTACCCACTTCATTTTCGTTCTTTTCACTATTCCCTCCGTTCTGAATTTTTCCTAAAAATTTTAATCCTTTAGTCTCTTTCTCTGCTTATATTTATAAATTCTTTCTGTTGTACCAGTCATGTGCCACGTGACTTCTGATATACTGCGGACTGCAGATACTGCAGATTACTACGGAAATCGTCATTTTACTTAGATAGTGACTACTTTTCCTAACGAAAGACCACTCACTAAGGTGAAGATGTAATTGTTTTGAATTGTCACCATCTCCACAGTGGTCAAGAAGCTAAGCAAAATTGAAATTGAGTCTATTTTATTATTTTCTTTTTTTTCTTTCTTTTTTCTTCTTTCATTATATAATCAATTGATAGATTAATTTATATTTTTAGAATAGAATTGAAATATTTATAAAAGTCACTTTAATTTTTCTTCTTCATGTATCAAAGATCAATTTTTTTAAAATCAATTAATCATTTTATTTAATAGATCAATTAACTAGTTAATGAAATAATTAATGAATTTTAATTAAAATCTTTAAATAGTTTTTGAGCAAACTTAAGATAGATTTCTTTATTTTCTTTATTTCTTTTTATATTTTTCTATTTTCTTAATAAAATCTTTATCTTATCTATAAATAAGTTATACATATGTTTATTTATTCCTTTGTATTTGTTTATAAATTATAAGTAAAGTCTATATTGTATAATCTAAAGTCTTAAAATAGACCATTGATCTTCAAACTGTCACATGACTTAGCCAGAACTCATCTTCTTCATTTTTTGAACTTATTCATCCTTCAAAATCTTTACAAAGTTCTAGTGAAACTATTTCATTTTACCTCTTATTAGAATTTGTCATATTTTCTCTTCTCTGTATTCATTATCCTTCCTTTAACTTGTTCCTTCTTTGTTTTATCTAGTTTCTTTACCTTTATTATCCTATAGTATAGAAAATTAGTTACTTTATATTTATTTGTTTTTACATACTCCCAAAATTCACTGATAACTACTGGGCTAAATTCAAGCACTTGTTGTACTTGCCCCCTTACTTTTTCAATAGGTAGTATCAATTACGACTAATAAATTAAATGTAATACAGAACTGATCTTGTTTATTTATTAATAGACGACTAATAAATTGTCATGTAATACAGAACTGATCTTGTTTATTTATTTTGTTTATTTATCTAAGACATTTTTTTACGTTTTATCCACTTCACTCATGGTTAACAATTTTCTTCAAACATTTTCAAAATTTATGCATTGTTATCAATGTAAACTTTCTACAATTTACAAAGACAATGGGATAAAATAATACTAAAACTAATAAATAAAACTAAGTATAACTATAAGAATTACTAATCTCACGACAAAATTATC